TGCCGGAGCAACGCCATGGTGCAGACGTTGTTTGGGCTGTGGTGGTGAGCAATGGCGAGGACCTTTGCTTTCTGCTGGGCAACCCTGGCGACTTGGTTCTGAGCTATGACTTCCTTTTTGCAGGAGCAAAAGGATTCACCCGGTCAGTCAAGGTTCACTCGGGCGGGGGTATTGGCGCGAGTGATCTCGTGTGATTGGCTGTAAATTACAGCTTGAGGGAAAAAGGTTGTTGTCACGGGTTATTCTGCTGCCGCATGTAGTTGGAACTGTTTCGTGTGTGGTGGAATTATCGTGGGAGGGATTTACATGCTTGCGTTTAGTTCACGGTCGGGTCTTGGCCCGTGTGATATTCTATGATTAACAGAAGCACCGCCGTGGTGCGGGATGGTTTTTGCAGGCGTGGTGTGGACGTTGTCTGGGCTGTGGTGCTTGTCAACGCCGTGGACCGAATGCTACCCCTTGCGTTTGAGGGAGTAACACCGGCGGCGTGGTCCTGGGCCTTCTTGTTTGCAAGAGCAACGGGTTCACTCGGTCGGAGGTCTTCTCTTGGCGCGAGTGATCTCGTGTGATTGGCTTTAGCGGAAATATGACGATGGGTAGGTGTTTGGTGCTTGTCGCGGGTTATTCAGATGTCGCATGGAATGAGAACTACTTTGGGCGTGGGGGAATCATCGTGGGTGTGGCGGGAGTGATTTAAATGCTTCGCTGAGTTGACGGGCGGGGTCTTGGCACGAGTGATATTTTATGATTAACTGTATGCTGTTAATCCGGAGTGTATATCAGCAATGTCGGAGGCGACGGTTAGAAAATATCTTAATGTGTCTATTGTATGGTGGCAGCTTTTGTTGCCCGAAACTAGGAGAGTTGGTCTTTCAGAAACCACGGTGAGTGTACAATTAATAAGCCATTTTGTGATCGGTAAAGTTTCTAACACTTCACATAAGCCCCCGGGAACCAGGGAGCACGGAAACACAGGTTGTGATGGCCGAGATAATGAGGTATTGCCTGCTGAAGATAGGACTGGAAACACCCGCAAGACCGTTAGGGAAATCACTCACTCAAGCCCTACCCCTAAACACTTGAGTAAAAATGTGCACTCTACCTGTGATTTGGTCTCGGGAATCTATTTCGAGCGGATGGAGCCGCTGTTCAACACCACTGCGCCTCTTGAGAAGTTTCCTCCCGCTCGAGCGACCGTTTCGTTTACAGCCTCGCCCTGTCCCCTATATAAACGCCGTGTGCCACACGTTGGTGCTGGTTACCAGTGGTCATGATAACCCTAGCCCATATCTTAATTCACGTAGTGTAGTCCATGAGCCCGCTCGAATTGAGCCAGCTCATATCAGCTCAAGCGAACTCGACTCTTAAAAGACAGAAGCTTGCAAGGCTCGAACTTTGATGACAGGCTCGTAAACTGGCTCGATCCGGTGGTCAATGATACAAAAACAGACTACCCTCACACGTAGTGTATACGTAGTAAAATGGCAGATATAAGCTTCATCTCATGGAGTAAGACCGTAGGAAAGGATTAATTATTTGAAGAATCATTCTAGTGGGTAGAACTCCCCTTTTTGCTTCTTTTATGGCCTCTAGAGCCTAGTTCAGAGCGAGTAAGCTAAGCTTGAGATCAAGCTCGAGCATAAGCTCTGTCAATGTGGGTACAACTCAGGGATTGGTCGAGACGACTTTTATTTTATTTTTGGATAATCTTTTGTTTTATTTCCCACTTTGGCTCTCTGTTTATCAATAACGTCTCCTTCAGAATAGTTGAGAGAGTTCCAGCAAGTGAAATTTATACAGCCTTTGATGAAATATCCCGAAAATCTAAAGAAATCGATATTGCATCAGAGAGAATAGAACCCATCCGTGTGGTACTTGATATGCACTGCTTTATGTGATTCACATCTACAGTACTTAATTCAACACGTTGTGATCTCACACCGTTGATGATCGGGGTAAGGATATACAACCATCGCAAGAGACAGGCACATGCCCCGTCAGTTCACACTATTTTGTCACAAGGCCTTATTCACCGCCTCCACATAGTTCACAGTTTCTGCATAAATTTAAAGAAGATTCAATTTCACATCGTTGAGTACATGACCATATCTTCCCCGTACTGAAAGCTCCTCCAAACGCGGGAAATTTACTATTTAACCCGGATGATTCTATCCTCCGGCACGACCTCCGTTTGTGACTTTCCGTCCCGTAGGACCTAGTTCACCTCTAGTCAGTACAGTACAGTACCTGGGGAACGGGGGTGAAGGGGATATACACTGTATCTAATAGGCCCCCGCTCAACTACGCCATGGATGGTGCCGGCATGTTCGTTTCCTGATGGAGATTAGCCAGGGACTAATGGATAGTAGTGCGGGGAGAGTTACTAGCTGCGTCGTAGAAATCCACTCTTGTGTCTTTGGGGAGTTCCGCCATTATTATTGCTGAGACTGGGACGAAGGGAGTGATGGAGAGAAATTATAAGTTCGGAGGTTGAGAGCAAGATGAGTGGAGAGAGGGGGGAGGAGTTGTGTAGAATGTGGAGAGCGAGAAGAACGGGGGAGGTGAGCGGGTATTTATGCTTATCCTGGGAGAATTGTATAGTGAGCTGAGGTTCCTTCTCGGGGGATTTGAGAGCGTGTGGGATCACATCACTGGGGGATACGGGGGTAGGGCGAGTGGCCTCCAAGGTGTGATGGATTGCGTCATCGAGGCGCACTGTGGGGAATGTGGGGTGTATGAATATGACATCCTCTTCAGCTGAGGTGGTCTGCCTGCATACTGAAATGGCGGGCCTGAATACTGCAATGGCCGGCCTGAATACTGAAATGGCCGGCCTGAATACTGAAATGGCCGGCCTGAATACTGAAATGGCCGGCCTGAATACTGAAATGGCCGGCCTGAATACTGAAATGGCCGGCCTGAAGGCCATATGGGACGCCTGGAACTCCAATTGCAATAATCATCCAACCCTGTATTTTGCGGAGCCCAAAGGAGTTGGATGTGGGTGGGCATGGTTCCCCCAGTAGCAATCGGGGGGAACGTATTTTAAATTAGGGAACGTATTATACAAGTATTGTATTGTATCAATAATACCATACATACGGCACCCTTGTATGCCGAGCTGCCAAGGTCCTGGGGCTACCCTATCTGGGGAGTAAAGAGATTTCAAAAGGATGCGGGTCATGAAATCTCAACCGAAGAGGATAGAAATAAGGACAGAAGATTACACAGCGGGTTTGTTATCCCACCAAGGGAGGGACGAAAAGTAACAAGTCCGTCTTATAATTTTAGCTATCGTTAATGTCAGTTCAAACCAGTTCTCTAAAACAGTTTAAAAAAATTACTCGGTTCAGCTTTGTCTTCTGGCGACACCATATCATCCGCTCCACCCATGAAGGAATCGTACCCAGCCATTTGGCTGGAGGACTTCTAAAGTCTAGATCTTTTCTTGTTTGTTTAAAACCACTACTGAAAATACTACCACAGAAATGTTCTCCAAACTATTCGATAAACAGAAATTAAACAAGCAGGAATATTACAACTGTACTATGATATCACACACGGCGCCCTTTTAACAGATCTTGAACGCCGTCTCTCTATTCTTAATTTCCCCGGCTTTCCCCTAAACTCTGCGATATTGATCCCCGATGCTGCCTCTTCCAGCTTTGGCTGAACAGTAACCCTTGAGTTCCCCGTCACCAAACAGCGCCCTGTTCTGACCGGGTCGTAAGAGCGTCCTATTCAGCAGGAAGTACGATTCGGGCACCCTATCTACAAGAGACTTGGTGTAGCGGAATACATACAAAGAGACACCCCACTCAACAGAGGTTGTTTGTCCCATCAATCAGCGACCATCAAGATGTACCCCAACAACCATCAAGGTACACCGGCGACCATTAGGATGTACACTAGTCAGCCCGAGACCGAACTAGCCAGCTTAGACCAGACTGTAGCATAGGTTAGCTGGCTTGAACTGTAGAGTAGAAGCTCAGAATTTTTTGAGATTGATTTTTTTGTAGAGTAGGCCATCGTATAGTCAATTAGACAATTGAGGCAAACTCACTTGAAGTGCTGACAAATCCTTGACACTAAGAGCTGTATCCTACTCATACGATAGGACACCCACACTTCCACTTATCTATCGGAACGGAATGGGTAGGTCGATTTCTTACCAGTGGGGCGCTATGTTCATGTGAGTCGGTATATCAATTTCCTGGCAGATAGGGCACCCGAATCGTATGTTCTGATGGATAGGACAACTTTTGGATCGGCGAGAACATGATAATTATTAAGATATCAACCAGTTACATGTAATTCATCAATAACTCCGCCATTTTTGATACCTCATCAAAGGGCTAAAGAGATCTGGTGAATACATTTAAAAATTAATTTTTGTCCGTCCAATATTCACGACATAATGAAACAGTTACTCCACTATGTGCTCAGGATGATGTTGATAATTCTGATTGGTTGATTGTGATGATCACGAGAATGAGTTGACTTATTCCCCCTGTAACCCCTGAGGGTGACAGAGGCAGTGGTGCCGTATTTCTACGGTACTAATATCAATAATTGATTCCCAAAACTGCGGCTTTAAGGTGGTATTTCTCAGAATGCGCATAGCTTGGGCATTCCTACAGCACGAATCACAACCCCTTTTTGGTACTGTATTCTTATGATCCATTAATAGCTGGAATGATACTGTAATATGGTTTCGCCAGCGAAAATGCTCAACCACAGTCACGTACCATACAAACCCAACTCTCTCATTAGAAGAACAGTTATAAAGTACATTTTCAGTGCGAGAAATAACTCTTGGTTTGAACTAACCTCACGCCACTCACATCCCCCCCCCCCCCCCAAAGCCCCAAAGAAAAGCAACATTACGTAACTCACATATCAAAGTTAAAATTTCTTCAAGAAAATACACATTCCGAGTCCCTACCACTATCACAGAAACCACGCACAACCTGACTATACTTTCCGAGGGCTACCAACTCTCAAGATATTCGTATGTTGATGATATGGTCGGGGTGAATGGTAGGCGGCTTAATTGACGGGACAATCGCAGGCAGTCTTAATCCCACATATCCCGTTTGCTTTCCTTGGGCGAATCCTAACATGCACAGAAACCACCTAGGGGATGCGGTAGACGCAAGTCTTACAAGTACCCAGCTTCCGGTCAACGATTCAGGGTGCTCGGCCTTCCACTCTTTTCTATTTTGCGCGTATCTCACTTGGCGTCTTAGGACGGGGAGTGGGCAGCAAACCACGAATCGATCTAGTCCTGTAGTATCGGTTTCGGCTTTATCGTCGTCGATACTACGAAGATATTCTATACGGAATCGGATGGTGCAATCGATATTTGGGTGCTTCCCACCAATCTTGTCAAGGAGACCCAATAGTCCTCCGGGATAATCGACAGGTGGAAATATTGGTCGGAACTGTAGAATCTCGAATAATGATTCAACACCGGCATTGCTGATGGTAACGGGCTCGATGTGTTTCCGCTGCTTTTCACTTCCCTTCAGTCGATAGGCGTCCAAGCTCACCGGGTACATTGACTTTCCAGGTAGTCTACAGCCGTAATTCATTCCCACCCAGTGAAATACAGAGACATCACTCTTGGATCGGAGAATCTCATCGATCAGGCGCCCTATGGCGGATTGTTGTCCCTCTCCATACAATATTGGGATTTTGATTTTCAGTATTCCCATCAAGGAGTAGGCTCGGTCTTCCTCGCGGGTGCATTGCCTCATACCCGCATAATGCAATACATACGAGGCAGGAAGACGGACCTTACCTTCCTTGCAGACTAGCTGACCCGGAACACGGCTGACCTTCGCAATATCTTCTAGAATCCTTTGGTTTTCTGTGACGTTCGGATCTAAGTCTTCAAGACTATGGTTGATACGCTGCCACCTCTGGTTATAAAAGAACGCCTTCTTGCACATGGCAATTTCCTGTAAGGTCCAGCCTCTGCTCGACCAACTGTATCCACCATCCCCCGTGACGGGAAACAATGTACTTAAGGTGTCTTCGATATATATTAGACAGACCTCCGCGTTGGCATACCATTCCCCCATGCATGCAATCGACTCCATCATCTCGGTGCTATTCGACTTGTCTATACAGCATGTATCCACCCATAAATACTTGTAACCCCCCTCCTGTGCCACCTGTAATGCCCCCTCGACTTTTGCCAGTCCCATATCCACCCTCGGATCTGCTTTAAGCTTTGGCTCTCTTGCCTTCAGGCGTTCAACCATAGCAGCCTGTCTGGATTTAGATAATTCGTTTAAACCCATATCTCGTACTCCCAAGTCTTCCGCAATCGCCGGCCAAATCTCAGTTTTTCCGATCTGCTCTTGGACCTTTTCCGTGACATCTGCCTGCCCCGACTCGAGAATGTTGATAAAGGTAGGAAGTACTTTAAGTGTTTCCTCCTCATTTTGTATCTCCACACGGAGGGTCTTGATCGACCTTCCGTTCAGTAGGCCGAATGACATCTCATCGTGGTTCGGCTGGGGGCCTTGGAACCAAACATGTGAAAGAATTGCATACGGTTCGTTGGACACTTTCACTAATTCCCCCTTTTGGATATCGATTAATCTGATCGGGGTACGCTTTGTTCTGAGGCGCTCCTCCCTGACAGTGAACCTGGTTCTGTTTTTTGAAAGGATATCGAAACGAAGCAAGTTGGTTGATGGATTCATAATTATTCGTGGGGGAAATTGTGCGATTTGTATGCGGAAGAGTTTAGGCGGGGGTTTACAGGCTCTGTCCCGCTGCTTTGGACGCTCGACACCGAATATATCCTAACGCTTGGTACGGAATTGGGAGGTCTTGAAGACGGTATAGAGGCCTAGAATATAGTCTTTATACGTTTACTCCTTCAGTACGGCAATGGCGGTGGGAGGATTAAGGAGCACACAGTATCTTATATGTGATTCATGGAAGGATGGCTTATGGAGAAACCCGATATTGACAAGTACAGTTTCTTGAGTGAGCCAAGGCCAAGCAAGGTATTCGTCTCATAATTCATAACTAGCACTTTCGGAGATAGAAACCTTCACATTTGAGGGGTCAAACGAGCTAATCCACAACCTTGCTATCTAACTTCACTTTGGGTAGGCCGAAAGGTTTCTTCCCCTCGTTTACGTTTCTTCCCTCCTTTCGGGCTTGTTTATGAGTCTTGATTCCTTTATGTATTAGTGATGGCGGGAGATAATAAATATCCTTCAAGTTGATTGGACATTGTAGGAGATATATTGATAGAATTCTCAATGCAGCTAAATCGTATCATTCGCCTCATGACTGCAGGACCAATGGCGAACGGCACCAGTAGGTAGGGGTTTTTCATCCACATACCTTCTCCTTTTCCCCCCTGTTGAACACATGAGAGTCTTTTAGGAACAGAAAGTCGAGCACTTCGACAAAAGGTCCTGCACATCTTATTGATTGAAAGACTGCAATTCTCTTCCTAAAACAGCCAACTTTCTGTCCAACCTGCTCGACTTTCTGTTCAATTCGCGCAGCTAAAATACCCCATTTGAAGCACAGAAGGAAATACTATTGCATACCATCTGCTATGCAATGGTGTTTCCTTTTACAAACGTGAGTAAGATACGAGTAGAGTACTGGTAGTCTTTTACGTTTCCGGACTGACTCTGCATATGGGTGTAAATCGTGCATGACAACCATATTTTGGAGGTATGCAGATCAAGTCCAGTCCGGAAACGTTAAAAAGCTACTCTACGAGTGGGTGTAGCTATCTACTCCTCATCTCATAACGGGCCTACTGCAGGTGACCAAAATCAGTAGGTTTCGATGATATGCAGTCCTACTCTGATCTGGATAGACTTCACATTCCCATCGCCAGAGTGATGATCATTAAATACGTCGGCCAATTAAAGACATGAATCTCCTCATCTTCCATTAGATATTCTCACCGTATCTACCTATTGCTGGTCGATCCGGACCAAAGCGGGGAAGCCCCGCTTGATGAGCACCCGAGATCTCCTCAATAGCCGCCTCACGTAATAGATCGACCGCCATGTTTTGAAATCGGTCCGGGCAAAGTTATATGACAGGGCTAACACTGCAAGTTGAAGCTGGTAGATTTGCAGGCCTGGTACTCGGGGCAGGTAAAAAGTACCTGACAATGCAAGTTTTGTCTCTGGGCTTTTTTTGCAGTAGCTCACGCCTAGCACGCGCTCCCATTGGTGAACCAAAAACCTGCATTGTCCAGTACTTTTTACCTGCCCCGAGTACATAATTATCGGGTCCAGCCGAAATTAGTCTTTTTCCTAACGACCGTGAGAGAGGTCAACACTAAATCAAAATAACCCAGACGGCCTGCATCATATGCATTAGGGGGACCTTGGCCTGCATGGTATGACGAATACTCTTAAAGAATAATTCTAAGGATCGGTACTCTAAGTATTTGACGGCGTATTCTTAAGCACGGCATTCCAAAAGTCATATCAGAATCTTGGATATTTTAATTTACTTTTAACGACTTTGACGGTCGTTGGCAAAAGACTCTATCGCTCTCAAGAGTTATACACAAATCAAAGTTAGTAATCGCGATTCATACCGGCTGCGATATTTTATCACCTATCAGCTCCCTAATCATCTAACTATATTCTTTACATCTTTTGTAGCCGTGGGTTGAATGATCTATACCTATATACAAAATCATGTATGTACCTACTCTAGAGTTTTCGGTGTACCTACATGCATACATACCTACGTGCACCCCTGTCCATACTGAGAAATACTTGAGGATTAAAGCTTCTAAACTGCATATTTTCATGTCAGCTGCAGCCGCATGTTTGGCGCGGCTGCATGAATACACAATTTTAATTCTTCATGCGTTAGTTCCTTGGCCCGCATAGTCCCAAAATTACTCCGAGAGGGGAACCTTAATTAGGCATTGCGATTGAAAATATCTCTAGGCGTATTCTTGAGGCTTGCAGTCGAAAATATTATATCACATCCAACTTGAATCCATCTTACTTGTCTTGGAAGTCTTGGGAATAGATAATTGCTTTAAGGTGCTTACTCAAAGTCTCTAATGAGCCAGTCCGTAGAAGGAAGGCAGCTGCAAATTGTTAATGGTAGCCTCTACCTGCAGCTCTCATAAAAGGAATATAGTTTTCTGTTCTTCATGTCCAGAAATTCAGGATAAAACTAACTGCATATAGCATCAGTGCTGTATTGAACACTCTTAATGTTTATTCTAGCATTGACTCACTTATCACACGCTGGAGCTGCAGGGTTCTCAATGATACGTATCGTATGATTTGCGTTCTATATCGCACCAACTGCCATATGTTCAGATTATTATCGAACAACATGATTGTTTGCGAACTTCTTATTGTACCAACCGTGATATAACATAGTGGAAACGAGTGATGTCGCATGTTGCGCAAAATGTGTCCAGGGCATAACTATATTATAGGATCAAGCTTAGAAAAAGCAAAAAGGTGTATACAGATCTTTGATACACGCGCCAAGACTCCATCAGTAAACCTGCACCCTTCGCTAGACGTCCGAGGTGCTCAGGGTGCTCAGGGTGCTCAGGGTGCTCGGTAGGTAAAGTATCTCTCCAGAGATACGGCAAGTGCTCCTGTCGAGTTCTAGCGTACGGTTGTCCACTCCAGCGTACACTAGTCTGCCCAACGTGCTCCGACACCTAATCCTAGCACTCGGCACAACCTGGACTTCAGTCCAGTCGCCAGAGAACGTCAGTTGCTCACTTGTATATCCTGACTGTTCCTGGAGCACTCCCGACTGCTCCAGCGGGACCTGGGATAGAATGATTACCTTGATCCATCCTGACTTTGCAGGATCGGGTGCTTTGAAACCTGGCTCTTGCCCGACGTACTCTAACGGGACAGGGTTCTAGGACAGGATTCTACGGTAGGTACCGATGCTAGAATAGACTCGAATACGTTCTTGGACTTGGACGGGAGACTGGGTTGATATCACGGCCCGACCGCTCCCACCTACTCTGCCGACGAGAACACTACGGAATCGGGTTGTTAGGTGAAGGATCAGGATGGCTTTGGTTAGGTTGGATATGTTAGGAAGGTGCTCGGAGGAGACAGTAAGCCCTAGGCGCTTCACGTTAGGTTGCGGGGAGAAGGATTGTGATCGATTTTGGTATGTTATTGTATATGTCTGATATTTCCTTAGGTGTGGTTACGAGGATTAGTTCTCGGATTATTCTTTGGGGTTTATATTCGAGGCTTTGTTCTCACTATTTGTACTTCTCTTTCTTTCTTCTTTACGCAACCTCTTCATTCTGTTTGTTGGTAAATCCTATTCTGTTTCGATCGGTATTCAGCCCGGTCCCCTTTCCTCATCCTAGAATATATCCCGAGTTGATCCTTGCCTCAGTACCCACCCACATTTCTGTCTTAAACCCCACTCCGTTAGAGTTGAGTTATAACGTGGGCCTATGGGCGAGAGACTATAGTGTCAAGGAATACAACCGAGGCGAGAACGTAGTAGAGTATGTTCGTGACTATGGACTATGGGATGGTTCAATCCTGATCGGAGATCCAAGATGAGCCCTATGACGTAGCGTAGAACAAAAGTAATATTCGTGGAGTAGAATACAGAGGTTGCGTAAAGAAGAAAGGAAAGAAGGAAAACAGATAAAACACGAGACAACGCCCCCTTATATATCCAACCATAGTCCAATAATGACTAATACCTCCGCGTAACAGAAACAAAAAGTATATAACAGAAATCCCCATTACAAATCCTAATTCAACTACACAATACCTCCTTTCCTCGTTCCAGTTTATTACCTAACCAAAATACATAGCTGCCATTACATGAGTATCGATCGAAACAGAATATATTGCTAACAAACAGAATGAAGACGTTGTGTGAAGAAGAATGAAAGAGAAGTACAGAGAGAGAAAACGAAGCCCGAATATAAACCCCAAAGAGAAAGCTGATGACTAACGCCTGTAACCACACTTAAAGAAATATCAATGGAACATAATGAAATCCCATAACCGATCCCGAACGTTATTTCCGCAATCCTAACCTGAAGCACCTAGCGCTTACTGTATCCTCTGAACATCTTCCTATCCCATCCAACGTAACCGATGATATCTCGATCCTTCACCAAACGATGCGATTCCGCAGAGCTCTCGACGGCAATGTAGGTGGGGATGGTCGGGCTGTGACACATGCCGATTCCTATATATCGGCGCCCCATTCTCTCCAGGCATACACCTCTCTGCCATACCGGCCTTCGATATTCACAATTTTCCTATGAGATTACCAAAACATGACTCAAACGAAAACATCTCTACTGCCTCCACACCACTCACGACTGCACTTTTAGAATTAGTATATTCAACACCATGATCCTCAATCTAATACTAAATCCATACACTATTTAACACTCTAACTAACCCTAAAATAATATAAGGGAAAGAATGAATACCCCACTATTTTCCTTAGCACTCACAATTGTTCTACACATCCTGCCCCCCCCTCTTTCATAATCGCCCACTACAAGTAATTCCAGCCCCTATTCTTCCACCTCCCCCTTCTCTTCGGTGTCAATACCGCAAAGTTGGGCATTAATCACTTCGTCTTGGGTACTATCAGAACCAACCTGACCTCCTGGAGCACTCGTGGGTATTCTCCGAGCAAGTCGGAATTCAGCAAGATCCGCAGCCAGCGC